CTCCCAAAATTGCCGGAGATGGCTGTGCCAGACATGCACCTCCCAGGGGTGCAGCTCCCCAAAGTTCCAGACATGAAGCTCCCCAAACTCCCGGAGATGGCTATGCCAGACCTGCACCTCCCGGAAGTGCAGCTGCCGAAAGTGTCAGAGATGAAGCTCCCGAAGATGCCCGAGATGGCCGTCCCGGACGTGCACCTCCCTGGGGTGCAGCTGCCGAAAGTTTCGGAGATGAAAGTCCCCGACGTGAAACTCCCTGAGATGAGGCTCCCGGAGATAAAGCTCCCAAAGGTGCCTGAGATGGCCGTCCCCGATGTGCACCTCCCGGAAGTGCAGCTGCCGAAAGCTTCAGAGATGCGGCTGCCGGAAATGGAGGTTCCCAGTGTCCCAGAGGTTCACCTTCCGAAGGTATCCGAGATGAGGCTGCCCACGGCTCCAGAGGTGCAGCTAAAAGCTGCCAGGGCGGAACAGGCAGAGGGGAAGGAATTTGGCTTCAAAATGCCCAAGATGACCATGCCCAAGCTAGGGAGGGCAGGGTCCCCGTCGCGAGGCAAGCCAGGTGAGGCAGGTGCTGAGGTCTTGGGGAAGCTGGTGACGCTGCCCTGTCTGCAGCCAGAGGTGGGCATCGAGGCTCGCGGGGGCGCCCCTTCTCTCACGCTGCCCTCTGTGGAGCTGGATCTGCCGGGAGCCCTCAGCCTGGAGGGGCAGGTCCAAGCAGCTGAAGTGGGCAAGGTGGAGCGGGCAGAGGGGCCCCAGGTGGCAGCGGGGATCGGGGAAGGGGCCTTCCGGATGCCCTCTGTTGAGATTGTCACCCCACAGCTGCCCACAGTGGAGGCTGGTGAGGGGCGGCTAGAGGTGACGGAGATGAAAGTCAAGCCCTCCTCCAAGTTTTCCCTGCCCAAGTTTGGACTCTCAGGGCCAAAGGTGGCCAAAACAGAGACGGAGGGGGCTGGCCGGGCCTCCAAGCTGAAGGTTTCCAAGTTTGCCATCTCGCGCCCCAAGGCTCGGGTGGGGACCGAGGCCGAGGCCAAAGGGGCAGGGGAGGCCGGGCTGTTACCTGCTCTTGACCTGTCCGTCCCGCATCTCAGCCTGGATGCCCATCTGCCCTCGGGCAAGGTGGAAGTGGCAGGGGCCGATGCCAAGCTCAAGGGGCCCAGGTTCACCCTGCCGAAGTTTGGCGTCAGAGGCCGGGACACGGAAGCAGGGGATCTTGCGACAGGGGTGTCTGAGTTGGAGGGCAAAGGCTGGGGCTGGGACGGGAGGATGAAGATGCCCAAGCTGAAAATGCCCTCCTTTGGGCTAGCTCGAGGGAAGGAATCAGAAATTCAGGGTGGACGGATCAGCCCCGGGGAGAAGCCAGAGTCCACAGCTGGGCAGCTTAAGATCCCAGAGGTGGAGCTGATCACGCTGGGGGACCAGGAAGTAGGGGGGCGAGCTGGAGGGGTGGCCGCCAGCGGGGTGCCCTTATCCGGCTTGCAAGCATCCACAAGTACGGTGCCGGGCACTGATGGCCAGCAGGGGGCGCCGAAGGTGCCTCCACTGGGCATCTCCCTGCCCCAGGTAGAGCTGACTGGCTTTGGGGAGGTGGTCGCGGGTGCCACCTCCGGGCAGCGAGCTGAGAGTGCAGCCCCCTTAGCAGAGGCCACCTCAGGCTACAAGGTCCAGGTGTCTCAAGTGACCGCGCCTGCACCCGGGAAGCAGGGAGCAGGCGGTGAGCTGTTGGTGGGCGAGGGCATCTTCAAGATGCCCGCTGTGACGGTGCCGCAGCTTGAGCTGGACGCGCGGCTGGGAGGAGAGGCGAGGGCAGGGGAGGCAGCCGCCGGGGATGGCGGGCCGGGGCTGAAGGTGCGCCCCCTGGAGGCCAGCGCGGGGGCTGCGGGAGACGCGCCAGGGGCCGAGCGCGCCTTCCACCTCTCGCTGCCGGACGTGGAGCTCTCACCGCCCGCAGTGGGCAGCCACGCCGAGTACCAGGTCACAGAGGGCGAGGGGGACGCCGGGCACAAGCTGAAGGTGCGGCTGCCGCGGTTTGGCCTGGTGCGGGCCAAGGAGGGGGGCGAGGAGGGAGAGAAAGCCAAGAGCCCGAGACTCAGGCTGCCGCGCGTGGGCTTCGGCCAGGGCGAGGCGGCCACCAGGGACGGCTCTCCCAGCCCCGAGGAGGAGGAGGAAGAGGCCGGCGGAGAAGGGAGCGCTGGCCGCCGCGGCCGAGGCCGGGTCCGCTTGCCCCGCGTGGGCCTGGCGTCCCCGTCCAAGGCCTCCCGGGGGCAGGAGGGCGAGGCGGCCTCCAAGTCCCCTGCAGGGGAGAAGTCACCCAAGTTCCGCTTCCCCCGGGTGTCCTTGAGTCCCAAGTCCAGGAGCAGGAGTGGGGACAAAGAAGAAGGTGGATTCCGGGTTCGGCTGCCCAGCGTGGGGTTTTCAGAGTCAGGGGCTCCCGGCCCCACGAGGATGGAGGGGGCCCAGGCCGCTGTCATCTGAAGTCACAAGGAGACTCCCCACTGTCTTCGTGTCCTGCCTCCCCCTTGTTTTGTGTGTGAGATAACTAGCACTAACCCGGGGGCGGGGGGTGGCCAGGAGGTGGACTACTGACCGGGGCAGGCTGCGGAGGCCTCACGCTATCTCACTGGCGCCCGTATCTTGCCATGTGAATAAAATAATCCAGAGGTTGCCATGTGTCCGGTCTCCTCTACGTGGGGGAGGGTGGGGAGGGTTCAGAGAAAGGAGTTGGGGTGGGGGCAGTGGGGGAACCTGAGGACACACAGGAGCCCTGGTCTGAGGAGGGATAGGGAGATGCGGGGAGCCCCACTGGAGGGACCCAGCCCTAGCCCTTCAGAATTCCCAGGGGTCGCTGAGCAGGACTCTGGGAAAGTGACCCCCAAGAGGGTAGTTGGGGGATCTCCTGCCAGCAAGTCCACATGACCTATCAGGAGAACATGACAGGCACCCTAAGAAAGATGAACAATTGCTCCCCGCCTGCCCTCTGCTGGCAGCCTCTGCCACCAACCCCTGCCCCCCTCCCCCCAAGACTGTCCCTTTCAGGTCTGGCTGGTTTAGCTGCCTGCTCCACCCAGCCCCTCCCAGGAAGGTTCCCCCCCC